TTAAACATATTAGAACTGGTTGACAAGAATGTTCATATCAATATTCCCAAGGACTATGAGTCTTCAGTTGCATGGGTCATCTTTGGCCATGGTATCAAGGTGATATTGGCCTTATAGAATGTTAGTAACTATCCCTTCCACTTCAATTTTTGCAAAGAGCTTGAGTAGTAATACTTTTTATTCTGTATTTTTACTAGGGTAAAATATACATGGCAAAAATTTTACCATTTTAGCCAATTTTTAAGTGTAGAGGTGATTGACAGTAGACACATTCCCATTATATCCAATAACCACCACCACCCATCTACAGAATTTGTCCCGACTCTGAACTAAAACTGTGCTCTCACTCAACACTGACTTTCTATTCTCCTCTTCCCCCTTTCCCAGGTAACCAACATCCTACTCCCTATTTCTATGAATTAGACCACTTGAGGCACCTTGTATTAGTGGAACCAGACAGTATTTGTTGTCTTAAGACTGGCTTATCTCAGCCTAATGCCTCAAGGGTTCACCTACTTCACAGATGTGCTAGAATTTCCCTCCTTTTTAAGATCATATAACATCCCATTATATGTTCATACTGCATTTTGTGTATTCCTCCAGCTGTGGATAGAAACTATGGTTGCCTCCTCTTTGTGGCTGCTATGAGCATGTATGAGCAGGCTATCCATCTAAATCCTGGCTGGCATCTCCCTTGTGTATTACACTGTGGAATTCATGGGTCATCCTGTAATTTATCCTGAATATTTTAGGACTTGCTATAATGTTTCCCATAGCAACTGCATCATTTCACAGTCTCAGTACCAGAGCACAAGGCTGTTGATTTCTTTTTACATTATGGCCAACACTTGCTGTTGTCTTTCCTTTTCTATTTTCTTTAAAAAATTACAATAATAATACTAGTGGGTATGAAGTAGTATCTCATTGTGGCATCTCACTGTGGCTTAGATTTGCATTTCCCTATGATCAGTGATGTTCAGTATCTTTTCATGTCATTTTCTTTGGCAAAACATCCATTCATGTCCTTTGGACCCCTTCCTTCTCCTTTTGGACAGTATTGGTAGTCAAACCTAGGGATGCTCTACCACTGAGCTATAATCCCAGCACTGCTTACTTCTTTTACTTTGAGACAGGCTCTTGCTAAATGACCCACGTTGGCCTTGGAACTTGCCACCTTCTGTCTCAGCCTCCCCAGTAACTACCATATGTATGCCTTTGCTCCTTTCTTTTTTAAAAAATTTTTTAATTTATTTTTATTTATTTATTTATTTATTTTTTTTTTTGCGGAACTGGGGATTGAACTCAGGCCCTTGCACTTGCCAGGGAAGTGCTTATTTCACTGAGCCATCATCCCAGCCCCTGCCTTTGCTCCTTTCTTATGTGAGTTGTTCTGTTAAGAGTTCTCTAAGCATTCTGATATTAATACTTCATCATATATATAATTTGTAAATATTTTCCATACTTCATTAGGATGCTTTTTATTCTGCTGATAAGTGTTCTTTGATGTATAAGTTTTTAATTTGACTTTTCCAATTTACTACTTTTATTTCATC